GAGTATTATAAATTCAAGAACCTGTTTTGAAATGAATTAACATGCGATAACTGCTCTTGAGTCTCCCCTTTTTTTGTAGTTTTACAGGGTTTTTATCAACTTATTCCTTAAAAAAAAAAAAAAAAAGCACTCAACTTTCATAAAAATGAAGTATATGCATAATAAGTCATTAAAGAAATTCACTGTTTTCCTCCCGTTAGTGAAGACTAAGACTGGACTTGCATAAGCATGTGGAGATGGAAGTAAAGACACTGGCAGAATTATTGCATTCCGTCGTTCCGTATCTGCTCTATTCTATATACGCACACAGAGAACAATTTTTGGTTTATTTATATTACCTTATAACTGAAGACTGAAATGAATCCAAAGGAGACTTGCCTAATTTTTCTTGTATAGTATTAGATATCTATTAGTCTTTAAATCTTTGTATGTTTTGGAAATTATGAGTGTATGAAACAAAAACAACTGAATGAGAGGGCGTTTTATTTGCAGACGTTGTCAAAGGCTTGATTTAGTTCTTAAAGATTTAAATCAAGTAGCTGCTTTTCTTTGCATCCTTACTTTTTAATATTTACTAGGTGTTTTTACTTGTAGACAGCAAGAAGCAATTCTTGGCATGCCAGATATACCACATTAACCTACCTCCAGGCCATGGTATTCTACAATCTCTTTATTTTTCTCAACAATGAAGAAGCAGTCAATGACATTAGATGGCTGGTTATAAAACTCCTGGAAGACGAACAGCTTGAGGTGAGTAATCTCTTCTCATGGAATCCTACTATTGGTGGGGGGAAAAAAAAAAAAATCAATGTGCTTCACTTTGGTCATTTCTTGCCCTTGCCAAGCTTTATGAAAGGAGGTACCAGTTGTAAATTTAATACAGATTGTAGCATAGCGTTCTTCTTGTTTTGAATATACAACTAACTAACTCTATAGGATTTTTTTAAAATTTCATATGGCCATGGTGCACACGTACTGCTGAAAAATCTGCTGTGTGTGAGTGCACGTTGTACTGCTCCAAGAGCTGTCAGGATCATAAACTGGTCCTCAGGAAAAAGGTGCCTAGTGTGACATTGGGTCTTTTTTCATATTCCTAAAAGCTAGGAAAACATCAAAAAAATCTTTCTCCCTCCATAAAACTCAAACCTGACAAGGGCTTGTTTTAAAGGTACTCAATTTTAAGTGTGCTTGATCATGTTTAAGCGTTGTGAAGAATCTTTAGTGTTAACCTTTAGTCTCACTCATTCCCTTATGTGCTATTTTTGCTGTTCCTTGTGCTGCTGGCAAATACCAGTGAAATTCAGCTTTGAATTTAATCATTTAGCTATATTAATGTTAGATTGTTAGTGGTTTGAGTACTATATTTCCTTCTAGAGGAAGGAAGATTCCGAAGCATGATACCCTGCTATGAAAAGCAGGATATTTTAGTTTTTCTGAAATAACATTTAAAATAGCCATTAGATTTGAGAAATGAAGCTTGTTCTTGTAACAAGCAAATTACAAGTAACTTGAATTCGTGAATGAATTTATGGGTTAGAAGGTTTGATGTTACCAATTCTGTACTGTTTCATGTAACTTTTAGGCAGCAGTCTTTGTATTTACAAAGTAGGAAGTATGAATAGCCATAGGATCATCTTCCAGTGGGACGTGATAGGTTGCAGATAAGCTATTTAGAAGGATATACTAAACTTATTTAAAGACTTGAAGGGTTTAGAAGACCTAAGATTTGCTGAAGGTATTAGTTCTTAAACATTCAGTTATACCAGGAATTAAAATAAATAGTCCTAGATGAATTGTGATCATAAAATCCACAAAAATAAAAATCAATGGGAAGACTCTGTGTGAATTTAGTGTGATTTTTGTTGATGTTGGGTTTTTTGTTGTTGCCGCATTTGTTTAATCATGGCCAAATCAGTACTTACTGCTCGAGAACATTGTTCAAGGATGTGATTTGTTATAATGCACATTGGATTCAGGGCGTTGGTGGGCATTTGTGCTGGAGGCAAACATTCTGCCTGCAGTTATGTGTAGCTGTGCACTTGCTGAGAAATCCAGCAACTGCTCACAACGTTTTAGCAAGTTCAGCTGGTTTTCAAAACCAAAAGTTAGGATGTTTTTTGCCAGCTTGTAAATATTTAAAGTGACCTTTTGAGGGACTGAAATTTAAATGGGGTCTTCTAGTTCTGTAACTGTAGATTTTGGGGACATTTGAGTTGATGAGGTAAATTAATAATAATGATGGCTGGTACTTGCTTTTCAAAGCAGTGAGTGAGTTATCTCCACTTGTGACTTACTAAAAACATATTATGCTAGTTCTCAAGGGGGTGGAAAGGGAGATCTGTGGGTTTTTTTTTTGGATTGGTAATTGGATAAATATTGATTTTTAGTCTTGCACTTTTGATTTTTGCATTACTGTAGAGGACAATATTTTTCTTAACCTGTAACTCTGTTTTTACTCAGTCAAGCTACTGGTACTCAAGGCAACAAAGTAAAATGCTGGAGCATTACAGGATTGAAATGCTAAGTTGTTACTGCTTATTACTGCAGAGCCAGTTGCGTCCCTCAGTCATTGTGTTACACGAACAAAACCTTCTCTAGCAGCTCATGAACATGGCTTCTGCCTTCTCTTGGATGTTCCGCGGGACATGTTTGCTGGCTAATGCTTGTGTGTGCTGCTTGTGCCCACAGGTGCGAGAAATGGCAGCCACCACGCTGAGCGGTTTGCTGCACTGTAACTTCCTCACTATGGATGCTCCTATGCAGACCCACTTTGAGCAGCTCTGCAAGATGAGGTTGCCAAAAAAAAGAAAGCGAGACCTGTGTTCGGTGGTGGATACAATTCCTTCTGGTGGTAAGTGCTCTGGGAGAGGTTCTTGCAGCAGAAATGATGAATGAATTCTCAAACTCCAAAAAAAAACAAAAACAAAAACAAACAAAAAAACCCACCCACCGATGTCCTCTGTTAATTTTCTACTTTTACAATTTAAACACTGAAGGGACTCATTCATTTCCTGTGTGAGCAGTTCATGTAGTTGCCGCTCAGTGCAAGGCTCTTGGAAGCAGTGGTGCTCCTGAATGTGCTGGATAGCAGAGCAGGATAAGGGAGGAGACCTATGTCCTCCCAGCATACCAGGAACATGTCCCATATCCAGCTGCCAAAAAGCTTCCCGTGGGACCAGGGCATACTCTCCTTTTGCATCCTGCAAAAAATGTCTTTGAAAAATAAGATTCAGAAAGGCCAAATCAGTGATTTCCAGACTGAGTTTAAATGTAAGAAAGGACTTCTTAGTTCTTATTGTAAATGTTTATATAGCTTATGGTACTTGCAGATATATATATAGTTTTGGCAATTGTTGATGATGTTTTTTACACATTCTTCCTTTTTCAAAAAATGAAAATGTAAGCAAGCGGGAGCACCTTGTGTGAATTGATATGTAACTATTTGGTCTAAGGAGCTATTTGATTTCCTGTAAAACCTGCAGATCTCTGTACTGTAGCAGGTTGGGTTTTAATTTTCAGATCAGAACTTAATCCTGGCATCAGTGCACTCTTCTAGTTTGATCATCTTTTTGTTATGTAGGCTCTTTTCAGTCACTTCCATCAATTAGAAATAGCTTTATTTTTGCTGGCATCAACCTCAGGTTTGGCTATGTAATTGAAGTATGTGCTAGATGAGGTATTTACTCCTCGTTAACCCCAAGTTCCCACTTCCATTTACAGACCTGGTGAAGCGCCACGCTGGGGTGCTGGGCCTCAGCGCGTGCATCTTGTCCAGCCCCTATGATGTCCCCACGTGGATGCCTCAGCTCCTCATGGACCTCAGCGCTCATCTCAACGACCCACAGCCCATTGAGGTACCTGCGCTCGGGCTCCCTTGGTCTCCTAAATGCGGCACCTCTGCAGGGTGCTCGGTCCTGCTCCCCTTCCCTTAGAGGCTGCGAGGGCGTTTGTATGGCGGGGAGCTGCTGAAATGGGTGCCTGCTGGCTGCTTTGAGAGTTCCACATGCATTTGAATCCACATGATGGCACTTCTTGTGTGGAATCTCTGCTCATGCTTCCAAACTTAATAAAGAATGAACTGAAAGCTGCAGGAATTATACTTGAAAGGGAGAAACAGGCTTGCTTGATTTAAAAGGTCACTTTTGTGCATGCCCACAAAGGTATCATTGAGTCAATTTGGAGGTCTAGAAAACATAAATCGGAAAAAAAAACATTCTGAATTGTTTTTGAAAGACAGGCTTTTGAAATTTGTCTTTAGAGTTGTCTTTAAGTGAAATTTTTACCTCTTGCTCTGTCAACATCATTTTGTTGACTTTTACCGTTAGAATGCTGAGCTTGCCTCCTGAAGAATTCCTTAATAAAACATCTTTATTGGGACTTCCTTAACTGATTCAGGAAACTACTCAGTGGGCTCTTATGATAATGTATGTAATTGTAGATAAAATTATTTTAATAATGGAAGATGCTTTTTCCTTTATGCAAGTTATATACATGACTAATCTGGTATGACTTTCTGATGTTTTACTTCTATCTTGAATTGAAAAAACAGGAAGGAGAACAGAACTATTTGCTTTATACTTCACAAGAATCCGTTAACTTAAACCTGAAATTGTAGGGTGAACAACCTTGCATCTGTCAGATTGTTGAAGTCTCGACACTGGTTAAAACTTCAACCACCAGTATAAAAATACCAGGCAGGGCCCAGGCTTGGAGCCTTCCCCTCCTTTGCTCGCTGATTGTACTCAGCACTTATTTTTCTGTTGTGCTTGAGTGCTGCTTTGTCGTGGAGTCTAAAGCAGTGCCTGTAACGGTTCGATACCAATTGTCTGCTGTGCAGATGACTGTGAAAAAAACACTGTCCAATTTCCGGAGGACCCATCATGACAACTGGCAGGAGCACAAGCAGCAGTTCACTGATGACCAGCTCATAGTCCTTACAGACCTCTTGGTGTCACCGTGCTATTATGCATAGATAGGTAAGATTATATGTTTTGACATAAACCGAGAAAAACGTCAGTTTTGGAAAACTTAATCTAGTTCTTCAGTGTAGCTGGCAGAGGGAAGAAATCCCAAGCTCCAAGACTGTTCTTGGCAAATAAAATAGTGAATTTTCCAGTACTGGGTTGGAGTGAATATTGTCCGTCTTTCCATGCGTGTCTGTCGCACTGGTGCTGCGGTGCGATGCCAGGGCTGGTGTTTGTTCCCTTCACTGTCCCCTTCACCTGCCTGCCCAGAGACCCTCGGCGCCTTGCGGTTGGCTTTGGTACCGGATTCCTGGCGCAGGCACGTCCCTCAAAGTGATTAGATTCTGCCCAGGGAGTTGTCCTTGATAAGCTGCAAGATTCTCATTTGTCCTGTGTTGTGGTGTTTTGTCATGGTCTTCCAAGAGAAATCCGTATTTTTATTTAGTTCTGGGCTAACAACGTGAGGAAACTTTCTCTTTTTTTATTTCAGGTTACTGTTGGGAAAAAATAGGATGTAGAAGACTTGCTACAAAATAAAGGAAACTCAGAAAAAAAAAAAAAGTATTACCTAGAAAACTTTGTATTGGACATCTTGATGCTTCATCAACCACTTTTAAATACAAACATAAAGGCCTGGTTCTGTTCCTAAGGAATTTCACCTCCCCGGGAGCCCCATAGCCTTCAGAGAGCCCAATCATGATTTTTATCGCCAAGATTCTTGTTGGCCCGCATCACTCATCTGTCCTTGTTACTGCTTCCTTGCACAGAGACTTACTCTACACATTTCCTATCCTCTCTTTCATATCCTTCCTCCCAGCTGTTTCCAGCATCAAGGATATGTAGAACCAGAGAGCACTCTCTAAACCAGAATATTCTCAGTGAAGCTCTTCAGTTTGGCTGGTGCAACATCTTACCTGGTCAGCTTGACAACCTGACGCCTCTTTGTCAAAGGATTTGTTTGGTTTGAGTACCCACCAGATGGTGGGCCGTGTATCATTTAATCCACCTCAGGGCAGCATTGCCTTTTTGTATCTTCTTGGCAGAAATGTAAATAACTCATTTTTCTCTGTGCAGTGTAGAAGATAGCAGGACAAGACTTGGGGAATGCAACCTCCTTTCATGTGGCCAGGGCATCCTAGATCACTTGGCCACACGTGGGGAAAAACCCACAATTATCTGCTTAGCTCTAAGGGGGAAAGACTGGGTGTGTTAGCATAGGTAGAGCCCATAGTGATGGATTGTGGACTGTCAAGTGGTGGCTGAATTCACAGAATGAAGTGTATGCACAGTGTGTAAAGGCACTGAATAGCTGACTTCCTAACAGCATCTTCTTGTAAAGATCATTAGTATTTGAGCAAGCACAATTTGCTCAAAGATTGTGGATGCTCTGTATTTTCCTTTTGCCTGCAGCTTTGGTCAGAGACTGGTATCTATTGGCTATTTAACAATATGTTTAATATGTGTTACATAGTTGTAAAAGACTGTATAAATTGTAGAGCGCTGCATTGACAAGACATTGTACAGTTTGCAATCTTTTACATAACACCATTGTGAGATTAATTTGTAAAGATTCATACTTAGATGTTAATACTGTAGTAGTTCTGGCTTTTGTATCAAATCAAATGCCATTATTAGTTTTTTAAATTATTTTTCTTTAGCATAATATCTCCTTGTGTCTAAAAGGCAGAGATTTTCTTTTGGTTTCTGTGTATCTCATTATTACTGTCTCATTCAGATTTTAATGCAACACTTGTGGCCATCTCTAAGTGCTGGCATCCCATGCTCTGGTGTGGTGAGTTCACAGACCATGAGGTACATGGAAATAACTCATAAAGGGTCTGTGTGCTCCAGCTTCCACACAGTCCCAGGGGTGCACGGGTGCACAGAGGACTCCGTGGAGGCCTGGCAGCACCGCGAGGCTCCGGGCACAGCATTTAGGGAGCACCAGTGCACGAGCGTAACCACTGTAGAGCGTAGTGCCAAAATTATTTAATGGTGTACCTAGGTGAAAATGCAATAAATGGATTGTTTGTAACAGCTCCATCTTTGTCTTTCTAAAGTGAAGAATCTGCTACTTTTCAGAATATAATTTAAGATTGTTTACTATGATTTTGAGCTCTTTTTGTATGAGATGTGTTTCTTGTGGGACTTGGCAGTGAATTAAGGCAACATTAAGGGTTAATCAAAGAACCAGCTCTAATTATTGAAGCACTTCTTTTTTTTTAATTAAAAAAAAAAAAACTTGTTTATCTGTGAAGTTCACTTAAAATGGGAGAAGCCAGGGGGCTGAAAGGGAAGTTTTTTGCTACCTTCTGGCATTAAAAAATCTTCAAAGATCATTCTTTACTGCCACTATTTTTATTTCAAGTACGTGGTGCCTGATTAAAGAAAGGAAAGGCCTTGGGGTTGGGTTTGCCACGGAGGCAGCCAGCACTAGGCTGCAGCTGGCTGTCTCCGGCAGCCCTGGCAGGAGTTGGGTTTCAGGCTGGGCCCCCACCCCCCCGCCCCGTCCAGCTGCTCGTTCTGCCCTCAGGGCTATTGCAGCAACTTTGCACCTCCTACTCAGTGATGCGCTGGAACCCTGTGCAGAGCTAGGAGGGGAAAGCAGCACAAAAGGGCGAAGGAAGGGAGCTCTCCTCTTAAAATATGCTCTGAAAAGCCATGACTCACTGCAGGAAGCACCACCGTGAGCCCACGGCACCTCAGGGGAGAAGCAAACATCGTCTTTATGTACAAGCATCAACTTGCATTTTCTTCAAGCACCGCTACCCAACAAAAATGCACTTAAGAATTTTCAAGCAAAAGCTTTATTTTAGCTTCTTTGTATTAAAAACAATTACTTCACTATCAATTTTACATAAAACTCAGACTGCGAATAAACAAGCTCTAGTTATCACCCAGTCCCACTTTTACCTCAGCAACCTTGTGTGGTAACAGATCAAACCAGACTGGCAGCAGAGGCCGCAGAGCAGCCGCCCGCTCCTGCCCTGAGCTTTGATGAAAGAAGCTCAGCTTAATCTATTCCCTCACAGGAGGGAGCTCTTTGCTGGGTTGTTACAGGCACTGCTATTTTTTTTTCCCAGGCATCAAAGTATTTGTTTAAAACATTTTCCTTACAACAGCAACATATAAACTTAATGAATTTGCATGATCAAGCTTAGCAAGTTACATTATATACACTTTGAATGTACAATTATCAATAAAAATGCCTGTGCACAAAATAGTTTTATTTGGGGGGGGAAAATCAGGTGCTAGATTTCAATTACATCAATATTTAAAAAGAAAACCAAAATTAATGAACAATAGTAACATGCCAATTTATTAGGAAGCCTCCTGCAAGTAACTGCAGAGGTACCTGCACTTCCTTCCCTGCTACATTTAACATTTGAGTAAGTTTGGGGGGGCAATTCATGCTAGAACCCTCAAATGTGAAGTTATGTGAAAAGCTGCCACCTGTGAGGACAGAATTAAAAACTAGCTGCTACAGTTAATTAATGCAAAATTATTTCAGTAAAATTTAAAGTTATTCTACTTACAAAGTACATACTGCAATGAAGTCTGATTTACAACCAGTTAGAGAACATAGCTAATGACTAAAACAAACACATACATTAGTTAAAAAGTCAAATATATACAAAAATATATTAGAAAGGGGTTGGGTTTAACCACAGGCTCATGTAAAAAAAAATGTTGTTTTAAATAGCACTAGCAAAAAAAAAATAGCTATTTTTCTCTATTTGTAATAGTACAAAAGGCAAAACCTACAGATGAGGTAGCAATGCCAAATTCACAAGAAACACTTTGGATTTAGGAGCATTTCCTACATTTTCATAGCATATCTGTCAACACAAATATTCAAATGAACACTTCAGTTGTTCCAAGAATACATTAATTTACAAAAAACCTTTTATAAAAGAACATTAAAAAAAAATTACTGGAATCAGATGTAGTTAAAAAAAAAAAAAAGTCTCCCACTCCTAAAACAGTGCCTGCCCTTGGAAGGCCTGCACAGCGCAGCAGCAGCACGGCCGCACTGCGGGATTGGGGCTCTGCCTAGGGCCTCTCCGGAGGAATTTAGGTATTTATTGTAGTAAGAAAATAATATACTTTACATCACAGTGCTTCCTTAAATGCAATTAAAAGAAAAATGTAAACTCAGGATTCTAGATACAATTTTACTTGAAAACTTAGGGCTTCAAGATGTTTGAAAAAGTCACATTTTTTTTTTTTTAAATTGACATCACAGTTCACGTCATAACTCATAGACGTAAGATTATTTGTAAATACCTGTGACTGCACTTCAGCTTTTGGTCTTTTTTTTTTCTTTTTAAAAGCCTAAATAACAAATAGACCAAGTGCAAAGGTAAGAGGTATTTTTTTATTATTATTATTATTTGCAAAGACACTAACTTTAGAAGTAACTTGCAAAATCAGATTTCTGGAGTGCGTTAATAGATGTAAGGAAATATGCGATATGGTACCCGCTGGCAATACCTTTCCCACGCCAAACCATATTTTTTCTTACAGTGATGTTCATCACGAGCTTCTCGATGAATGAGCAAGCAGATGAAATAAATCACATAAAAATATGGCAGAATATGATTAAAACCTGTAAAGCAAAATGAGAACATCATTTTACGATAGCAAAAACACACCTCAAGTTTTAGCTCTTCAGTAGTAAAAATTTCAAAACCAGAACTCTTTTCCTCTGCATTTGATCACACGAATGTATTTTGATTAAAATCCTTCCCTATAGTTGGGAGCCCTTGCCTCCAAACAGAGCAACTCCTGTTTTTGGGGGATCGCATGTTCAATGTCACAACACAGCTAGCGCCTGAAACTGAAGCCTGAGGGCCGCATTAGCCCTACTGCCCCTGCAAGCACACACAGGCCTCACCGATGCTGCAAGAATAAGTGACTAATCAAACTGCTTCTACGCTAAGATCTAAAAGGTAAGCTACGACACAGGTCACAGATGCTAGATCAAGCTTGCAGCATATTTGACTTTCATTTAATTACAGCTTTTACTATCTACACTATCACTGCACTTGAATGCAGAAATCAGACGCTGAATGTACCTGTTCACAGTGGCAAAAAAGAACTTTTTGCTCGAGGCACTTACCGCAGGGCAGGGACCAGGCCAGCGCCATGATGATGTCGCCGAGGTAATTGGGGTGCCGAACAAAACCCCACCAGCCCGTGACGAGCAGCCCCTTTCCCGTGGCCGTGGGTATAACCTTCAGGTCTGGGAACAGAGCATCGTGGGTGAGACAACAATTGAAACGTGCATTTAAATAATACAGAGACACTGTATAGCAAGGGAAAAATATCGAAAGTACTCACAGGCCAATTTAGGATCTGCAGGATTCCTTCGGAATTTATTTTTCTGAGAATTTGCACTACGGAATATGTAATATCCAATACCTGGGAGAAAAAAAAAAAACTTTTATGGTGCACTTTCAGTGAATTTCCTACTGTTTTCTTTCCCTCAACAAGAAGCATTCAGTTGATTCCTGTTGTGCTTATTAGATCACTGAAGATTTTCACATAACTCATTCTCAAGTTCTCAGAGTTCTAACAAAATAGGGATGTTACTGGAACTCTGCAATCATATGTTACATATGTACATAAATGACTACACTTACGATGCTGGCCAAGCTGTACTTTCACAATAGTTTTTACATTCCCATCTGCTTTATTGCTTATTAATAACGCTGAATTTGGAATTCCCAGAAGCGATCATCGTAAGAACCAGACTATTTCTGTTTAACAGACAGAATGTAAGATCAACGCGTCCTGGCTGCAGCTTCCAAGGCAACTCAAAGAAAGAGTCGGCACGATCAGCACCCATGAAATTCGCTGTCACTTATAGCGACAGACACTTACAGTTCAGAATAGTAATTGCAGAAGCTGCTGGCCATGAAACTGCAGTAGGGTGACTGACTAAGTAGAAGGCTTGCAGGCTGTAGACAAACGGAACCCACACCAAATCTCCAAAGGCCAGCATGAAGCCGAACCCATCGTGGGTGATGTCCATCGTAGTCAAAACAGCTTCCTAAAACATGGAGAAAGAACATTAGAATTCAAGAAGCCTCCTTGTTTTAACACGTCTTTAACTAGAAATGGTAACAGGTTAACACATGCTTGAAGACCATTGTTTACCTCATTCCAAAGAGCATCCACCACATAAAGGAGCTGGAAGCTGTTCACCAGTACCATTGCCAGAGAGGGTGTGCTTTGATTATGTAACTTCATCTCAGCCAGCAGCATTGCCAAGTTGATAACAATCTATTTATTTTTTTTTAAAAAAAGAAAACATGTAAACAGTGTACTGCACGTTTTGCCCATGGGCCATTACATTACAGGAAACTTTAAAATAATAACCTGTTTCACAAACTACAGTAAGTAGCTACAGTCCCAAAGCTGCCATCTCAGTGTGTAAACACTTAAACAGGCTCCTATTTCTCACATAGAGAAGGAGATATAGAGCACAGAAACGGTTTCATGTGAACAGGAATGGCCTGTATAATATCTGCCATTGTGGAACTCTTTTTAAGTATTTTTTTTCTGAATTTTTTTTTCATCATCAAACAAAAAGAATAAAATCCATTAACATTACTGACTCACCCAGCCAATTAATCCTGGACGCAATTCACAGAAGTATTTGAGGTCAAAACTGCCAATACGAGGATTTAATTCGTGTCCAGTAAAGAAGTCATAAACAAGATAGCCTACAGATAAAACACATCCTGTTAGTGATGCCTTTCTCTTTTATCCTCCATTACACTCCCTAAAAAGCAGCTGCTGTTTCAGCCTCAATTTAAAGTTCTCCTACTACATCAAAAACAGTTAAGTTTGGCAAGAAAAAAATGCAAAAGTACATGCAAAATATGAAGCAAAGCTAACTGGTTTCTATATTAGAAGGACTGAACAGTTTATAAGTTAACGTAGCCTATTTTTTTCCTGACATTTATTTCTTCATTTTTCAGCTTTAGCTTGGAGCTTATATCACATTCTCCAAGAACATGATGTTAAATACTAAGTATTTTTCGCCCCTCCATGTTTTTCTCTGGAATAACGATTCCTTTAGCAATGGCAGCAACCCGTCCATCCAAAGAGGTGGACAAGGAGGCAAATGTCACGGCTAGACATGAAATGTCCTAGACCTCAGGATACCTTGCACTGCGTTAGCAAACACCAGCATCAAGCATCTGCAAGAGAGATACAGGGTGCTGCTGTGCCACTTTTAGAGACCAGAACTGCACTTCTGTAAGATAAAAACATTGATGATCACATTATTTCTCCTCACACACACACCCAGCACTGACAAAAAAACTGAGGATACCTGAACGTTTCTTTTTAAGTCACTAAGCATGATGCCCGAAACGTTCCTTGGTTATTTAGTCTGTTACCATTTTAAAAACAGCTGATTTAATGTTAAACTTGGAACAAGATCTGCTTAGTTAAATGTGCCTGAGCTGTGTGTCAAATCAAAATACTCTTTCGAAACCTCATTTCAGCTAAGTTTATAAGCATACAGCAAAATCAAAGCTGTCCTAAAAATACAGTAGAAAGTTCTACACTTGACCTCCCACTGCTGGAATTTCTCCCTTTTTCAGTTTTTCCTTTCATTCTGAAGTGTTCCTGAAAAAAGGGGCGGTAGGAAGCTACCTAGATTTTTTTTTAGTCTTTGGAAAACTGGAATCTCCTCTCGTAGCCAGAGGACTAGGCCCTGTCAAACTGTTTTTGAGTAAGCAATGCAAAACAATCCAAATAAACTTTTATGCATTTTACAGGATCTGTATCTGAATAAAAGCTTTCAATAAAAACTCCACTTTCAACACCTGTTTTATACTGGTATGAAGGAAAAGTCACGGGATTATAATATCAAGCCCTAAACTTACCTAGCTATTATCTAGCTTTTAATTAAATGATAGCAACAGCAACAACAAAATAAAAGTAGCAAATACTTGGTACCAAATTATCCCAGAATTCCCAGAAACTCACCAGAATTCCCACCCGGTGCTAGTTCTTCTTCTGGTGTTCTTAGGGACCGAAGATACAGAAAAATGCTCAATCCCATAGAAAAAGCTGCAGCTGATACTGCAAATTGCAGGAAGTGATCATACAAATAGGTAAGTTCCAATTGAAAATACAGTAAGGCTCCAACAGATGCAGCAGTCAAAACAAAAGCATAAAATCCTAAAAAAAGAAGCAGCAAAACATGTCAGCAAAAAATTAACTAAAAAAATATTATTCGTAGAACCTACTGAGGCTAGTCTAAACTTGAAATTTGCCTCATTTTTTGGAAGTAAAGTGAGGTCCAAAGACTCAAAATTGCTCTTTACCAGGCAAGAATAGGAATATTTTAAATCATTTATTCACAGGCTAATAAAGTTGTTATCAGAGACACCCGAGAATAAGACCACCTACACGTGTGTATTAGATAAAGGTACCACATTCCAGCAGAGCAACTCCAGCTTTCTTACCATTTATCCTGTACTGCAGTTTCCTTCCATTTGAGAGCGGCAGGCCTTCCACAACCTGGGAAGGATAAAACACTCGTGTTGAGACAAAGCCCTGCTGGAGGCTGGGGAAGGGCCTCCTCTGACACATACACACTTCCAATCCAGGGAACCAGTCGCAGACAAACATTCAACACTGAAGATCATGCACCAGTTTCAAAAAACACACTCTGGGTTTTAAAAGGACAACAGGTAAAAATGGTACAAAACTCTAATTTTCCTTAACCAACATCAAGAGAGCACAGCAAAAGCTTCTATTGCTTTAAAAATGTAGCACTAGCGTGGTAAGATTCCTATTTTTTCTAGCATTCTTTCAGAATCTGGCAGTATCTCTGAAATCACAAAAAAAGACTGAAACAGACCATTCACCATATGATACATATGGCTAGAAGGGTTAAGAGTAACTTTGCAGAAGTGAAGATTACTTTCTAAAACATGGATGATCTTCCTTACTTGGAACAAGTAAGAAAGTCCAAACTGTTTGCATCCTCCCAGGATTCTAACATGCACATTCCAGTCATGCTTTGACATCAAATTCCTCAAAATTCTTTTCTGCCTTTTCTACTAGACACTATGGAAGAAAAATAGCAGGTTGTGCTATTTCCAACTTACAGAAATGCACGGTAGCGATATTCCAGCTTAATATGGGAAAACAATTAATTTGTACTAAAAATTACTCTCATTAAGAATACACCCTCATTTCCAGCCTAACTCACAGATTTATTCTCCATAAAGACAGAGTTGCTACTAGAAATCTTACCTTTCCAATTGGCAGTAAGTAGAAGAGAGCTTGAAGGAAAAACCATAGCAGGATGATACCGAACACCTTTGTCTCCCACAGGCTTTCCCAAGCTGGCAGAGGAGGAGGGAAGTTCAGAAGACTGGGATCATCCTGCTTGCACATCAACAGCAAGTACATCACCATAGCAGGCAGGAAAAGTATCAACATGAAGGTCCCTGTAAACAGACACCATACAAGATTTAAAAACAAACATAGGAAGTAAAAAGCTCATTTCAACTCCACTACTAAAGCTGTGTGTTATCACTGTTATCCTGACATGATAATACAGTTAGGAAGTAGAAACACAGAAGTAGTGGTTTCTCCAATATTACTACAATTTGCACACATACCAATTCTTCCACCAAACTCGAGCTCCTTTGTTTTTGGTGAAGCTTTTTCAGCTGTTGTTACTGTCTCAAAAATCTTTTTTTCTGAATATATCTCTTCTTTCTTCTTTTCTTCTCTTCTTGAATGCAAGCTGTACTGATCAAGCACACGCTGTATATCCAGATCAGGTTTGAATTTTTGCTGATAATAAACAATTAAAAACATTTTTTAAAGAAAAAGTATACCATAGAGTTTTTACTTTATTTTACTCCAGTACTTCATTCGCTGCAAAATGCAAACTTACAACCTCTTAAACACATACACTGATGTGAAGAGTTTACTAAAACTAGTGTCCTTGTTGCCACATAGGCCACAGTAACTGACACAGCAACATTTCCACTACAGGTCATGCATCTCCACTCCCTTCCTTATGCAATAGCACAATAATCAAGATTAAAGAAATAGTTTCTATGAAAAATGATCTATTCTTACATCCCAAACACAGATTTATTCACTTCAGTGTTGCCAAGTGAACATTTACAGCATAAAAAAAGCATGGGAATGAACACAAGTAACCAACGAGGGTTGCTGGAAAGACAAACAAGCAATTCAATGTAACCCAGCTCTAGTTCTCTCCTTTCTGACCACTTCATCTCCTTTTCCCCTCATCTTAGTGGGCTGAACAGTAAAAGTATTTAAACTCTCAAGTGTTACGTTGCACTGAAACTTCTCTTTGCCTATTTCCAGTGATTTCTGAGAAAGCTAGGGCAGAATGCATCATCAAACTATGAGTACATAAAATACTTTTTTTGCATCTTTACCTCCAAGATTTTGCTGGAAGTATCATTTCTTTCTGTACTGTCAGGTTCACCATTGTATCTTCTGGTGTTATTCTCATTCATTTTCTGGTATAAACAAAAAAAAAATCATTTTATTTTTCTGAAAATGATCTGCATCAAGTCTTAGCATATGATGAATGATTAGGAACACTTTAACAAATTTGTTTATTTCATCTGCAACTCCTGCTGTTTTCCCTTTCCAAGTTGTTTTTAACTCTTTGGTATGAAGTTATACAAACACAGATATGTGTATTTACCAATTTTATTATGAAATTAGAGGAAAAATCTGATGTTCCACACACAGTAACTGATACATCAGTTCTCAACTCAACTGCAAGTTCCAGTCCTTAAGTGGAAGCAAAGAAACACTATCTAAACACTAAAGGTGTGCTCACCTTTTTGAACAAAGTGTGCTCACCTTTTTGACCAAAGTAAAGTTTAACTGTTGGCTACGAATTACTTCAAATGAGCATACAGTCACAGGCAAAGCACTGGATCACACAGCTCTAAGTAGTTTACTCCAAGCAAAACCCATCTATTTTCACTAGATCAGCAAAAGGCATTTCCAATACTAGGGACCATCTCATATATTTATCACTTGGAGAGATCCAAATAGTACAAGAGGCAGAGCAAATACTGTTTGTGTCTTAATACAAAATATAATCCCCATTATTCTTCACTCACAGAACAGCAGAACTATTTATAGTGTCCAACATAATCCTCACAAAAAGGCTGAGAATCAACATGTTAAATTTCAGCTAGGAAACAAATTTACCAACTCTCCCAGGATAGTTTTTATAATGAAAACAGTCCTGCATGATTATCAGGCATGTATTTTCTACCCCTAGATTTTGCAGCAATGCTTCTCTCACAAAGCTTTACATGGTTTCAATTACTCTTTTAATGAACTAAATATGAAGGCAATATTAATTTTATTTCTAATTCTAATATCAACCGGTTACATATTGATCAATACCTCTTAAAAGCAGGCTAAGTTCCTTTTTCCCATCTAAGTTCCTTTCTCCCATTTTACAAAAGGAGGCATGTGGCTAGTGAATGACTTAATATTAAAGATTCTTTGCGTTTCTTTGAATTGTGAGAATTTTTGAAATCCCAACAAATTCAAAGGGAACATAACAATATGTGTTCACATATCCAGAATTTCCTCAAAATCAGGCAAGCTAGGACGAGTATTTTCTAAAGAAAAGGGCAGTTCTGAAATACACTTTTGCAGCCAATTATGTTGCTGAGGGAACACAAAGTACAGCAGACTTCTCCAATAAGAAGCCCAGCAAACAGCAAAGATATGTTTTAAAAATGTAACAAATAAAAAAATACCAGGAGAACAAGGTCGGTTTCCTGAAGAGTTTTCTTTTTGTCTTCTTTACGTTCTCTGCTCTGGGAGGAAGAACGACGCCTGCCCCTTCCTGGCCGCCCAGGAGACCTAGATCGAGATCTGCTGGTGTTTCTTCTGGAAGGAGAGCTTGAAGACGACTGGCTTTTCCTGGGCTTGAATGATGATTGCGACTGAAAAAAAGAGTGGAAGAAAATCTCTGCTTTACAGAAGAAAAGCGATCTTCTCCTATGGTCTTTTCTTAAGTACGGGCACAGCTGCAATAAAACGATCAATTTAGTTACTTCAGATTAAGTTACTTCAGTTACTATGTCAAATTAATGGTAAGCTTGAGCTTGGCACAGAACATCTTTTTTAAAAGGTGTAAATACCAAGAGATCCATATGCTACTGCTAGACCTGTAAATTGCTTGTCATGTCACAGATGCTGATGCCTTGTTACATTTTCTGAAAATACCAGGGGAATAGAGAATAAAACCTTCAGAAATCTTATCTCGGACATTCCAAAGAATGGTTTTAGAAAATTGTTTCTTTGTGATGAGGATTCTGGCACTGAGGTCTGCAAAACTCTGTCCCATCTCATTTATTCATGCTGTACAAGGATCTTAAGAAACAGCAGCTACAGCATACTCATTCTGTTGGTGATATGCAAAAAAACCCCTCTCAAGTCCAGCTGCTGACAATTTCTGTCAAAGTTACATGCAAATACTGATCTCTGTAAGCTATCTATGTGTAGCAAACTAGTGAGGCTACTATCTCCACTTATATACAACTATAGAAAATACTACCATTTCATTCACTTAACTTTACTGATACAACATTTGGCACGTCAAGATGCAATGATCTGTAAAAGACAACTTAAATCAATCTAGAAAAAGTAAATCAACTATAGATGTGAAAGCTGATTTCATAAGCAATTTTCCTCCAAAGCACACACTTTTCTTTAAAAGATTACAATGCTATTGCTCCCATATAAAAATTCCACAGTATAATTTTCACAAGGCACAATTTTATTAGGTTCTTTACTACAAAGAGATTTTTCAAGTTAGCTATCCTGCAAGCACTAAGCAGTAAAGTTAGCAAAGATCAAGGAAAGGTTAAGTTATTCCTGCCTTCAGCTAGACAAATTTTTTCCCCAAAGAAAAGGCCAGTTATGGAACATGTGCACTGGCACCAAAAAGCAAAACTACAGTTCATATAATGACACTCAAGTTAACTCGAAACACAGGCTAAACACAGGCCATAGGAAAATCATCTATGACCTATAGTGAACATTAAAATAGGTTTTTGTCTCATGCTTTATCGTATTTCAAACTTGGATAAAACTTGTATGCAGTCTAAGGCACTTATTGATAGGAGGGAATGAAAAAAGATGTAAATACGTGTAAAGAGGTTTCAGTATATATGACATTTTCATTTTTCTGAAGTGCCTTACTGTCACAAAAAGAGCAAAATATCTTATGAAACCTTTGGGGAATTAATGGAGTGCAGCTACTCATATATATTTTAAGCATGTGCTTAAAGAGAATGTGCTATTTACAATGATGTTCAACGTTTGTTTTTGTACTTTAAAGAAGAAAAGTCACATTATTGTCAACCCTCTAATTACTAGCTTTACAACTGAAAACAATTCTTCATGAAAAATCATGCTATGGAAATTCTTGAAGGAACTGTTGTTTCCCAAATGTGTCCCTGATTTTTCAATATAAGTAAAACAGTCATGCTCCCTTAAAAACAGGGCCAGCATTCTGACTTTTGCTTGAGAAGGCGTATACGAAAGCTATCACTTAGCACTAATTCCTTGAAAGTACAATTATGAAAAACTCACGCAGCAACTGTCCAAATGTAACTTATAAATTTACAAACAATACAAAATCAGTATGACCTTCCACCAGAAATACCCTGAGTTTCATGAAGTTATACTCACCCTTATATCACTTTCTTTCAGCTCAAGCTCAGTCCCATCTTTGTACTTAACAGTATAAAGATGAGTTACATCATTGTAACCAGTCACTTGCACTTCGTAATAGAGGACGCTTCCTGGCCAGCGGCCCATCACCACCTCCCCATCAGCAAACCTCCGGGCTGGCATTTTCCAAAAGGAACCTTTGGAAAATAAATCAGTAAGCATGGCAGCTAAAAATTAGGCTTAATAATTAAATAACCAATTGCAAAATATTCTTCACCTTAAATAAGCAAAAGGTTGTGTGAAAAGAGAGAAGCAACAATCTGTTTTCCACGTTAATTCAAGATAGAAGGCACATTTCAAAAGAGCAAAGATGAGCCACGTTTGATGTTATGAAAGACTTTCTATTTGTGCTAATAAGTGCACACTGATCTAGACGCACGAGTGTGTACAATCTCCATAACCTCCATCATCAGCGATCATCAAGAGCAGGCCAAACAACTATTAGACAAAACCTACATAAACAGAGTGATCCTCTCTGGAGGAAGAAATAGGTGATCTCTAAGCATTCTCTAATTTTCAGTGGTCCTACAAAAATTCAGGATGTGATGATTTCTAAACGTGAAATTACAATGTTCCTGACCTAGTCAACATGCACTTTGTTCATCTTACATATTTTCTAGGAATTATGTCAAGCACTGAAAGGCTGTGAAGTAGCACAATTTAGGCTCCTGGTCTGGGAGGAATTCTTTGCACCTTCCCACCTATTTAGCACAAGGCACGTAAAGTCTTCTGCAGGGCTCTGCATGGTGTCTGAGAAATGCACTGGAAAACTGCACTCTGTCCTCATCTGCAAAATATCCACCGGACACTAGCAAACACAGTTGACACAACCTCCACTAGTCTGCAGTGCTGCAGGATCATGGCTGCAACTATATAAAGCTCCAAGTGAGCCTTTCCAGGATGCCTTGTGTTGTATCACTGTCATCTGGAAATAGGAATGCACAGTACAAGATACTTTTAACCTGAATACCGTAAGTTAGATATCCATGTGCAAAGCAAGGGCATCTTACAGGGTCAAGGCAAAAAAAAAAAAAAAAAAAAACTTTATACAATATCAACATTTGTATAATGACGGGAACATAAGATAAGGAACATCAAAATAGGAAAATCAGCAAACATTGTGTTTGATCTTCAAAACAGTCTGACTTCTTTGCCATAAACGAGATGGCAAACCACACAAACTGTGATGAAAACAAATATTTAACTACATAATCATTTGCTACACATTAACTAACCAGCAATGAAAAGTAGGATTTTTTGGCAGAAAAATTACTGCTCATAGGCAATCACAGCCCATCATAACCTGTGCCGGGAATGGAGCTAAGAGAGCTGCGCAATCGACCTTTATTCTGCCATTTCCTGGGGCTGCTGCGCTGCTTACATTTTATGCCTAGGAAGCATTTTAAGTTATAAAAGAAGAAAACAAAAAACTCTGCAAAATTTGCTCATGTGGATTTCATTGCTAGTGTCAAAATGGAAAGATCTAGTTAATTTGCTAATGGTGAAACAGAAAGACCCTTCACTTACTGACATTTGAAGGAACAACAACAAAGTTACATAGTTTTATCATTAGCCTCACTGCTGTCTGCCAGTTAGAAAAACTACCACCTCTCCAAATTTACAGTGCTGTTCTGTGCTCCCATAGCTAGAGGAGCTCTCCCAGCAACTTTCTCTGCTCTCCAGAGTTTATTGCCCTAGTCTCATTTTTCTTTCTTATCTGTTCTCAATTCCCACTCATCTGATCTTGTTTTGCCCCAGTTGACTGAACCCCCTCAAAGTCACACCAGTCCTTATTTGCAAGCACATGAAATGCAATTTCCACATTTTTACTTCATCTTCTTCTCCATTTTCTCTCTTCTCCCTTTAATTCCTTGGGGGAGGAGGGGGAATGTTTTTGTTTTTCCTGCCTTTTCTGCTCTCATTCTCCAAACTGGTTCCAGTTCCCCAGCCCCATCCCTGGGCTCAAGCACTGATCTCAGTTCCTCATCTCTGTCTCTTTGTCAGGTTTCTCACTCCTCCAGGACTAAAAAAAAAACACCACACAGTTCTTGAGGAGATCCAGCTCTACTTCTCTTCTGAAACCTCTTTCATAGTTGCAGGCTTTTCATCGTTCTCCAAACAGTGACCAAATACCACCTCCTCTCCCAAATCCAGTCATGGATCTGGACCTGATCCTTCATTTCCTCCCTGCTTTTCTACTTCCTACACTTCAGCCAAGTGCTTCTTCTCTTGACCTGCACTGGCTCAAACATCATCTGCAAACCCCAAGTCTTCCCATGAATAAGCTGCCAGATTATCAGTTAACAAGAACAGCATGTTTGGAGTTTAAAGGACTAAAAGGAGTTTAAAAAAAAAACACACACACACACACACACAAAAAAACTTGCTCATTAGTACTTAGTAATGAAATCAAACCCTAAATGCAAAGGTTAAATATTACTTCTTACCCTATCAAACATTATGATTTTCTTGTGCAACCTCCTGCAAGAGAGGTTTGCAAACCTCATTCCAGTTCTCCCACTTCAAAGCGCTACACCTTTTAGAGGCAGCGTTCGTGTCTGCAGATAACAGCAGACAGCATTGACATCAAAAAAGAGATAGTTTTAACTGTATAGCTTAGGTTTTTTACTTTTTAAAAAATACATTTTGAATCTACTTTTTCAGGCACTAAGTACATGTCCCTGGTGATTGTCTGTGTGTCGCAAGGCCTCAGCTTATTACGTACTGTACATCTACACAGGTTTTTTAATCTATCAGGCTTCACAATATGTACCTGAGTCCAGAAGAAAAAAATATTTCATAAAATGTGTTTGCCCAGCACAGACACTCTATTCCAAGGAATTAAATTTAGTCCCTTTTGCGGTGTAGTGCATGTGTTGTGCACCACTACGCTTTCCCTTTGGGAAGGCAGGATCTAAGAAAAGGGCCCAAAAGAGTTTCATACCCGAAGTCAAGCCAAGCAAATTTAACACAGACCTCCCTGGAGTTTCAAGGGCAGTCAGGAAGAAAAGCTGCTACAGACAAGAATGAGCCCAGTAAAGAGAAGCAGGATACTGGAACTTTGGGTCCCACAAACCCATTTCTGCCTATTTTTTTTTTCTTTTTTTAATAGCTGCGTCACTGAATGCGTCGGCCGGCACGTCACTCCCGTGTGTTTAATAAGGAAGGCCCAAAGCGCAGCCCTGGCCCAGCCAGAG